CTCAGCCGCCGCCGCACGCCGCCCACGTTCACGCTCAGAGCCTCGTCGCTCCGCCTCCAGGGAGCCCCGGCGCCGGGCCCTGGGGACTCGCTCACCATGGCTGCGGTCCTCTGCCCTGCGGACGCGGGAGAAGCGCGCTGAGGGGGGCGGGGCGGGTCCCCGGGCCTTGCTTCCAGGAAGATCGACAAATCCCCTGCCCGGTTCACCAGCCAGGGGTGTTGGGTGCTCTCTGCGAAGCGCCTGGGATGCAGTAGGTGCTCAGTAGGTGGCAAGTGCCCTTTGGACTGAAGGGTCAGGCCTGGGTTTGACTAGCCCTCCCTCCCTGGCTGGGGGACTTTGGTGAAATCCCTGAGCCTCGCGGCGCTCGTTTCATTGGCATAAACAAACGGGGAACTCGACCTCGGAGGATTATGAAAGCCGCTGAGTGGCCGTATGCCTGGCACCTGGGGATGCGCAGGTAGGCTGTCTCCCTCCCCAGACAACTGTGAATCCCAGAGGTCTACTGTGGGACCTTGGACACGCCACACGCTGAACCTGTTTCCTCCTTAGCAAAGTGGGAATAGTGAGTGCTTACCACCTAGGGTTGAGGGGAGAATCGTATAGACTAGTAGTTCTCAAAGTGTGTTCCCTGCTAGCAGAGTCAGCATCACCTGGAAATTTGTCAAAATGCAATTTCTCAGCCTGCTCTAGACTTGCTGATTCATGAAGCTCTGGGGATGGATTTCAGCGGTTTGTATATTAACAAGCTCGGAGGGTGATTCTGACACTTGGTCAAGTTTGACTGCCATTGGCTGAGACTTTTTAAAGCATCTGTAGAGTCTGTCAGATTGAACTGTGGCTCTCTTGTGTGACTGTAGGCAAGTCATGCCACTTCTCTGAGCTTCTTCAAGTGGAGATGAATAATACCCACCTCCAACTGTGGTTAAAAAGGTTAGATGAACTAATGTCTTTTTCGGGCTTGGCTCCCAGAAGTTTAATAAATTATCCACCTGTTTCACTGTCTCCTGGAGTCAGGCAAGCCTTTATCTCCACCCTGGATGCACCTGGCGCCTTGAGGAAGATGTTTTTCTCCAGGTCCGTTTCTTGCGCAATGCAGACAATAGCACCTGCCCCCAAGGACGACTGGAGGATTACGGTAGGTTATAGAAATGGTCAGCCTTCGCGGACACTCAGGAAATGTTAAATGCTGTCTCTAAGTTCTGCTGAAATTGGACGCCAGAGACTCACCTCCTGACCTTAGTAATGTCATCTGCACTGTGGGTTCAGTAATGCATGCTTCCCAGGGTGGACAGGGATTGCTTGTGCATCAAGCACCTGGCCCAGTGCCTGGCAGGGAGTGGGCGGGGTGCCCTTCACTCACCCTGGCTTGGTGTTAAGGGAGTTGGGGTTTTGTCCTTAGATCCGTTACTTGTGTGACAGAAGGCCAGTCTTCTGCTCTGGGCCTTAGCTCTCTTATCTATAGGATGATAATAGCACTTCAATTGAAAGGTTACTGTGAGTCTGTGTGCAAAACCCCTGGAGCACAGGAAGTGCTCAATACATGTTAATCCCTTGTGTGCCTCTCTGGTTAGACCTGGGTTCTAATTCTGAGTCTGCTTCTTACCGTTACCCTTGAGTGGACCTTCTCTGAGCTTCAGTTGCCCCATCTGTAAAGTGGGGAACACCGTCCTTTCCGTGAGAGCTATGAGGATTGCAGGAGACCAGGTGCTCATCAGCAGCACAGTCCTGGCACATAAACTGCGCACAATAAATATGTGTGCGCTGCAGCTGCATCCCACCCCTCCGCCTGGACTTGGTGCCAGGTCTCTAATCCAGGTCCATCACCCATGAGCTGCCCCTCTGCGGGCAGCCCCCTTTCTCTTTCTGGAACTCACCTTCCAGCTCTGTGAAGTGGGACAGTTAACTCAAGAAACCTTCCCCAACAAGAATCTGAGTACCAGTAGGAAAGATTAAGTGATGTGCTCAACAGCTAGTGTACAGCGCAGGTAAGGCTGGAAAGTAGGTTTTGTGATCCTCCAGGCTCTTTCCACACTTACTTGATCGCCTACTATGTGCTGGTCACTTCTCTGGGCTCCATGTACTCCTCACTGGTTTGAATGCCTACTCCAACCCCGCCGGGAGGTTTTCTAATCCCATTTGACAGATGAGCAAAGAGGACCTGCCCCAAAGCTCAGCCATCCAGTATTGCTCCCTCCTTGGGGGCTCTCAGGGAGAAGACAGGAGCCCCGGGGTGCCGGCAGCTCCCGCCTCCCAGTCGCGCAGCCCCCGCCCCTTTCCCCGACCACGCCCCTACCCGAGGGACGCCCCTTACCTGCCGCCCGGTGCGTCTGTCCCCAAAGGCGCCGAAGCTGGGGAGCCGCCTGGCCACCCCTGGGGCTGGTCTCCGCCTCGGCGACCCTCCGAGCGTCGCTGCTGCGGAGGCCGCTGCCCCCTCCTTCCCTGTGCTCCTCTGTCCCCCGCGGCTGAGGCCGCATCGATCGCTGCCGGGGGAGGGAGGAGGGAGGCCGCGCGCCGGAGGCGGTGGTTTCTATTCCTGACTCGGTTGGGGTGTGTGAGGGTGTCTGGGGACTGGGCACTACAGCCGGGACATCCTCCCAAGTCAGGGACCAAGGGAGGAGGGGTCATTTAAGGGACAGGGTCCTTTCTAAAGAGGCATTTCTCCCGCAAGAGTAATAACAGCTTCCTAAATTGATATGTGCCAGTCACTCTGCCTAAGGTGACTTATCTAAATGATTGCTGACACAAACTTGACAGGGACAGGGTCTTATGTTCCCCCTTTTACAGATGAGGCCCAGTCACCTGCTCTGGGCACCTAGCTAGGACATGTGGACTGATAAGATAAGAACTTGCATCCCCTAATGCTCCCCAGGGCATGTGCATGGGGGAGTTGGAGAAAGTGGCCTCGCTCCCCCTGTGAGCCCCAGGCCTGACCTGGGCCTACTCAAGACCCACTCTCCCTGTGCTGCCTGTGAAGCCTGGATCCGATCCTTTTGCCCCTTGAAGTTCAGTGTCCTCACCTGCCCAGAGGTTCCTGATTTCCACCTTCTGAGTGGGTTGTGAGGGTAAGGGAGAACTCTGCCAGAGTTTGTCAAGGTTGTGTAATCTGCAAGCATTTATTGAGCACCTACTATGTGCCTGGTTGGGGAAAGGGTACTGGACATTAGGACCTGGATACAAGAAAGGACTCCTACTTTACAAATATTGTTATGCCCTAGCCGGTTAGCTCAGTGGTTAGAGTGTCGGCCTGCAGACTAAAGGGTCCTGGGTTCAATTCCAGCCAAGGGCACATACCTTGAATGCAAGTGCAATCCCCGGCTCTGGTCAGGGCAAGTGTGGGAGGCAACCAATTGATGTGTCTCTGTCACATCAATGCTTCTCTCTTTCTCTCTCTCCCTCTCTTTCTCTCGCTCCTACCATCTCTAAAAAGCAATGAAAAAATATCCCCATGTGAGGATTAAAAAAAACAAAAAACAAATATTAATTGTTATTAATAATAATGACCAACATTTATCGAAGACTTATCTTGGGCCAACTATTCTATAGGTCTCATCTCATTTAAGCTGCAAATATATCTGTGGGGTAGGTGCTATTATTATTCCAACCTCACAGATAAGAGATGTAAAGCTTGGAGAGGTGGGGTGACTTGCCCAAGGTCATATAAATGACGTCTGAGTCCCCTAGAGCAGCACTATCCAATAGATACAATGTGAGCCACACATATAATTTAAAGTTTTCTCACAGCAACATTAAAAAAAGAAAATAGGTGAAATCAGTCTTAATAATATATTTTATTTAACCCAGTATATCCAAAATATTATAATTTCAACATGGAATCAATAAAGAAAATATTAATGAGATTTTACATTTTTATTTTTGTACTAAGTCTTCAAAATCCAGTGTGTTAATTGTTCACTGCTGTACAATTACCACGAATTTAGCAACTTAAAACAATATACATTTATTATCTCATAGTTTCTTTCTGTCAGAAAGTCTGTGCTCAATATGACTGGATTCTCTGTTGAGGACCTCACTTGATTGAAGTCAAGGTGTCAACCAGGGCTATGGTTATCATCTGGGGCTTGGGATTCTCTTCCAAGTTCACAGATTATAGGCAAAATTCCCTCCTTGTGGTTGTAGGACTGAGGTCCTCCTTTTCCTGCTGACTGCTGGGGATCACTCTCAGCTGATAGAGGCTACATGTGGTTTCTTCACATGTGGGCCCCATAGGCAGAAGTTTGCTTTCTTCCAAGCAAACCAGAGTACTGACTTCCTCTTCTGTGACCAGACAGAGAAAATGCTCTGCTTTTAAAGAACTCACCTGCTTAAGCCAGGACACCTGATTGTCCAGACCCGCCCAGGACAATCTCCTTTTTGCCATATAACACACATTCACAGGTTGCACCTGCACTCAAAGAGGAGGCGATTATACAGGGACAGGGGCCACTGGGAATCATCTTAGAATTCTGTCTACGACATCCACCTAGAATCCATCAATTTGGACTAATCACATTCACATGTTCAGCAGCCCTGTGTGGCTAGTGGCTACCATATGGGACAGTGCAGCTCTAGGCTTTATCACTTCAGTTCTTCCCTCAAAGTTAGAAAGAGCGGGGGATGCTTTGTGCTCATCTTGGCCAGTTCCCTCAGTTTCCCAATAAGGAAACAGGCAGATCTGCAGAGACTCCGGTTTCCCATTTCCTGCCCTAGTACTCTGTCTGCAGCCATCACCCCCCAAAACTCAGGGGGTTCCCCCTGGAGTTGGAGAAGTTGTTCCAAAAAGAAAAAAGACAGATCTGTTTCCCAAGGGCAGAAGAGAATAGAACCAGGATCTGGTTTCATCCCCAGATCATGCTGGAGTTTTGGATGAATTCATGCGTGATAGAAACGGGAAGAGGGGCGTATGGGCCTTTGGGGCTAAAAGAGTATCCATATAGTGCCATGGATGGGCTACTCCCCCAGTTCTCCTTCAGTCCCTGGCTCCAGTGGCCATCTGAACCCATGGAGTTTTACCCTAAAGAGTAAGCTTGATGTGGTATAAAGTACAGAAATTTTGGAATTAAGTAGACCTGGGTGTGGCATTGCAGCTTCTAGAATATCTCCCAGTGATGTCTGCTTCCTGGTGCTCACACCTTGGTGTACTCCCTTCCCCTTTAGTGCAAGACTTCCTGATTTGTTTCTAAGGAACAGAAGAGGGCAAAGGGGATGAAGTGCACCTCCAGGGCGAGGTGGGGAGGAAAGGGAAGTGTGTGGGCATGCAGTGCAATGTCCCCTATTAGCTGCGTCAAGGGCCTGAATTTATGGACGGGAAACTGAGGCTCAGAAAGAGGAAGGGAAATATCCACGCTCACAGTCAGTGGCTCTCAGATTCTTCCCTCCCAGGCCTCACCTTGTGTCCATATAATTAGCATTTGCAGCTTTTGAGTCAATAACTCAGGCATTTGAATTCCACAAGGAGGCCTGTGGCGGTGAGGAAGTGGAATTCTTCCCATCTCCCAACAGGGCAGACTGAAGGGCAGAGTGGTGACTCACCTGTGACCACAGTGCGACATCGAGGAAACAAGGAAAGGCAACCCAGGATTTCCAACTTTGCCACCACAGTTGACTGTCCCGCCCCAGATTCTGTCAGCACACAAGGAGACCCAGCAGACAAAGCAGGGAGGAGTCTGCCCACCTCCCTGCCCTCCCCAGGCAAGTCCTGGGTAAAAGGGATAGCCAGGAATCCAGCTATCTGGGTCCAGGAATGTCCCTTGGGATGGCTGTCATTCCCTCATTGAATTCTCCCTTCCTTATTAGGCCCTGACGACAGATGGAGACCCTCAAGACACAGAAATGAATGAGGTATTGTCCAATGGTGGAGACAGACCCTCCCCAAGGTATGACATCCCAACTGCTCAAGCAACATTTCCCTAAATGTGGAGCAACTTGAAGTGACCTTCGGGTGTACGTGGATGCAACATTGGCCAACACTGACTCTTGGAGCGAAAGTCTCAGGTTAGAGACCTGCGTCTTTAATCTTCACTTATTACAACAGAGAGCAGGCTTCAGGCTCACAGTCTCGTCAGGTGGCAGTATCTAGCTAGAATTTAATAACAGTATTTAAGATTGTTTAATCGGACATGATTTTACTGGAACTTAGCTGTTGCATTGGCTTTTATAATCATACTCTATTTGTACCAAGGGATCCTGCTTCTCCCGTTTATGGCTGTGACATCAAGTTTTTCTTTTTAAATTATACACAAAAGTGAATCCACTTAAGGAAAAGCATTAGATAAACAGGAGCACAGGCAGTGTACACAATGCCGAGGTGCTGTTTGCAGGTATGGTGAAAACTGTGAAAGGTGGCTGTGAACAGGCATGTTCAGGAAACTGCTGGAACATACATCCCGGTAGCTGGGGAGAGGTCAGGACCCCACAGAGAGAGGCCTACCTGAACGGGACATTTTAGGTAGAAGAAACCCTTGTACAAAGAGGTGTGAAGGTGGGCGTTAGGAAGGGCGAGGAGCTCAGTGTGGCAGTGGTACAGGGAGGAGTCCTTTGAGGTCTGGCCATGGACCTTGATTCCCAAGAGGAAAAACCCAGGGTGGATGGGCTGCAGGGAAAGGCACAGCGGGTCAGAGTTTATCAGAAGGTTGGAACTGCTGCGGGCAGAGACAGTGCTGTCTGGGTGGCAGGCCTCAGGCCCCCTGTCATCATCTCTTCCTGCTGAGAAGCCCATCCTGAGGTTCAGAGCCGTGGATCCTAAACCAGAATTAGTCTGAGGAGAGAGAAAGAAAGGGTTAACCCCCTCCCATAATAGGGCTCCGAGTTCTGGGCTCGATCACCCATCCAGACCCTATCAGCCCAGCCCTGGTGGCCGCTAAGGCAGGACTCCCCACCATCTTTCACAAGGGTAGACTGAGGCTCAGAGCAGTTTAGGATTGTGGTCCAGGGGACATAGCAAGTTCACCAAGAGAACCCAGGATCCCCAGTTCCTCCATCATCCTAACAGGACCCCTCATCCCCCACCCACTTCCCCAAGCTCCTGGGAAGGTATCCTGCTGAGCTTGTTGAACTGGCCAGGATCTTATTGCTGGGGCTCAGGGAGGGAAAGAACCTGCCCCAGCACAGGCGCGTACCTCTGACAGGGCTCCGGCAGTCCCGGCCGCAGGCGCTGAGGCAGCACCGGCTGCTGCCCGGGCAGTCTGAGTCCTGGTGGCACAGGTGCTGAACGGGGCTGAGGCAGCGCAGGAGGTCCTCGGGGCAGGCGCCCTGCTTTACTGCAACACGGGGCCTGCGTGAGCCCTGTCTGAGCCTCAGCCCCGGGGCTTGGGGCTTGGGCTTGGGCTTGGGCAGTGAGCAAGGTGGAGAGGGACACTTACCTGTGACCCTGCGGACACACTGACGGAAGCAACTTTTGTGGCAGCACTTCATCCTCGAGGGACACTGGCTGTCATCCATGCACTGGTCAGGCACTGACAGGAGGCAGGGCCCATCATCTGGTGGACATCCCCCGTGTCTCTCTGTAAGAGAGCCCCCCAGATACTGCAGCCGGAGGCAGGTCAGAGTCTGGAATAAGGGCTGACCTGGGCATCACCAGATCTGAATTCGCCTCCTCTTAGTTCTTGCCTGTCCTTTGGCAGGTTATTATTTGTATTTTTTGGATGGACTTGCTTTATTTATTTTTTTATTAGGTATAAATTTTTTATTGAGGTATAATCGACATAACATTGTGTTAGTTTCAGATGTACAAGTCGATGATTCAATATCGGTGTGTATTGCAAAATGATCACAAGAAGTCCGGTTAGCATCTGCCACCATACATTGTTCAAAAATTGTTTTCTTGTGATGAAGACTTTTAAGATCTACTCTCAGCAACTTTCAAATATGCAATACAATAGTATTAACTATAGTCACCGTGCTATACATTACATTCTCACGACTTGTTTATCTTATAACTGGAAGTCTGCACCTTTTCCTCCCCCTTTGCCCATTTCACCCACCCTCCACTGAGCTTCATTATTTAGGTTTTGTTTCTTAGATTCCACTTATAAGTGAGATCATATGGTATGTCTTTCTCTGTCTGACGTATTTCACTCAGAACAATGCCCTCAAGGTCCATCCACATCGCAAATGGCTGGCAAAGGTGTGTGTGTGTGTGTGTGTCTTTTACTCCAAGCCTCCGTTTTCTGTCTGTGAAATGAGAAGCTGGACTCCCTCCTTCTGGGCAGGTTGGAGACTCAGATGACATAAAGGGTGGGAGAAAGTGAAAATCAAAACGTCCACCTGCGCTAACAAGGCTGCGCCTGGTCTGGCCTCTGCCCATCTCTCTGGCCTCGCCCCCGCTCTGTGGCTCCTGATCCACTCCAGTTCTCTTCTCTGCAGTGCTTGCTTCGGCTCTGCCCGTCACCCGGGGGCCCTGTCCTACATCTTCTGCTTCTCTCACCCCAGATTAACTAGGTCAGCCCCACATCACCCCACACAGTCCCAGAGGACCTTTGCTTCAGTCTGTGACCCTGCCTCTATTTGTCTGCCTCTCTCACTTGGCCGGCAGCTATGGCAATAGACCCCTCTGCCCGCTCTGCTCACGGTTAAGCCGAAGCACAGTCCTTGACACCAAACACTAGGGGCTCAGTGACTATTTGAAAAAAGGGGTTTCAAAGGGAGATCCAGCATCGCAGGTGTGTCAGCTGTTGGCAGCCTGGTACGTTGTCACACAGCCACCGCAGGCCACATCTGTACTGTGCTTGTTGCTGATGCAAGTGGTATTGTTTCAGGGATCTGTATTAACTTGGTCTTTCAGGCAGTCCTCTGAATGGTTCTAGGATGTTCTGTCCTGGAACTTACCTAGCCACTTTTCTTGATAGGATTTTGGGCCATTTCCAGATTTCATGCAAAAGGCTCAAATCAGCACCTTCCTCTGTTTAGAGGGAGGAATCAAGGCCTGAAAGGGGCAGTGACTGCCCAGACCCACACAGACCCTGAGGCCTCATCTCTCAGGGCAGTGGTCCCTCTGACCTGCCCACCTCTCTGCTCTGGCCGCCATTGAACCCTGGGGACAGGAACTGGTCCCCAGCCTTCGTTTCAGTCTAGCACCTGAGAAAAGGGTCAAGAGCCACCAGAGGCAGCCTCACCCAGTGCTATGACATTTCCTTGTATCCACTTTCCCCCTCCAGCTGGCTGCATACATAGTAGGCACCTTGCTCACACAGTAAGTGCTCAAAGTCAACTTCAGTTGTGTAATTGTGTTGGCTTAAACTGAATTACTGTCCCCTGCTGGAGAAAGAGCAGCTTAGCCTGTTGGGGAGCCCCCTACCCTGAATAGCCTCTCCTTCCCAGGCTGGGGATACTCTCTGAGGCCCAGCCCTGGCCAGAGGAGCTCAGGCCTCAAGGAGTGGGGCCAAATGGAGCTGCCTAAATTGGGGTGGAGTGGAGTGAGGGAGAACTTCTGTGAGGGAGGGTCAGGACCTAAGCCTTGAGGAAAGACAGACAGGAAGGGGGGATGAGAACTGGCATTTCAAGTGGGGAGAACTGGGCAGCAACAGTGTGGAGGTGGAAATAAGAGCCTGGAGTGTGCAGGGACAGTGGGAGGGTCTGCTGGCTTACACTCATCTTCATCTGCCTTTCCTAATCTGCCCTCCCAATCCCCGTTCCCCACCCACAGGTATGTCCTCAGAGGCAAGGTCACCTACACACACTGACAGCCATAAAGTACCCGAGTCTTCTGGATATGCTGCCTCAGAGAATGAAAGAGTCCTACCCAGTCACAGTTAAATATGCATATTTATGCATACAGACATAGGTACACAGACATAGTCAAATATGCAAACACACTTAGATGTATACATACGATTAGCTATGGGCTTAACCATATACACTGCTGATATTCAACTTTTTTTTTTTAATCCTTCCTCGGGGATATTTTTTTCATTGCTTTTTAGAGAGAGTGAAAGGGAAAGAGAGAGACATTAATGTGAGAGAGACACATCGATTAGTTGCCTCCTGCATGTGCCCCGACCAGGGCCAGGGATTGAGCCTGCAACTGAGGTACATGCCCTTGGCCAGAATTGAACCTGGGACCCTTCAATCTGCGGGCCACTGCTCTAACCACTGAGCCAAACCAGCTAGGGCATATATTCAACTTTTTTGATCTACAAAAATAGTAATTTCATATAGTCTGACCTATTCATATATATGTGTGTGTACGTCCTATAGTTTATATGTATAAGATAGCTATATATGTATAAGCACATATGAACAAATACAGGGTGTCCCAAAAAAATGTATACACACTTTGAATATTTATAAAGGCAGTGTTTATTAAATTATATTTCAATGCCCGGCCAGTGTTGCTCAGTGGTTGATCATTGACCTATGAACCAGGAGGTCACTTCGATTCCTGGTCAGGGCACATGCCCAGGTTTCGGGCTTGATCCCCAGTAGGGGGCTTGCAGGAGGCAGCTGATCAATGACTCTCATCATTGATGTTTCTCTCTCTCTCCTTCTCCCTTCCTCTCTCTCTCTCTAAAATCAATAAAAACATATTTTTTAAAAGTACATTTAACTTTCAAAATGTAATAGAATCTACAGACATTGTGTATACATCTTGGGGGGACACTCTGTATATGTCCATATGAACAAATATACAGGCTTACTGCCATATATACATGCCTATACACATAAATACAGGGGTGGGGAAAAGGTTTACAGTTGTTCATATGGAAAATAATACAATAATTAATAAATAATAATACAATAATAAACTCTGTGTTTCATGTACTCACAACTGCAAACCTACTTTTACCCACCCCGTACATATACACGGAAATGACACACACTCAGACATGCATTCATGTATATGTAAACATATAGCATATGTATGGGTGTGAGCACAGACATGAACGTGCACGTGCAGTTCTGTGCACAACCATATGTGCGGAGCTGCAGGCACAGGCCCCTTCACAATACAACAATGCAACCATTGAAAACACTTGTTAGACACTTTCTATCAGGGCCTGTGCCCGGCTCTCTCTGTCAGAGACACCCAGACATATTTGAGTGTGTGTGGAGGGAATCTTATAAACAGACGTGACTGTGCTTCCACAGAAAAGAATCCGAGATGTCCCTTCCCTCAACTCTGCTCCTTTCCTCCACTGTCCGAAATTCTACAGAAAGCTAGGTAGAGATCTCATGGGGAGAATCTGGGAAGGCTAGAGATGTGATGAACTGGGGGAGCCCAGCGGGTATTATTCCACTTACTCCTGAGAGAGAGGCATGAGACCCCATTTTATAAGGAGTAGGTTTGGGAGGTGATTCTTCCTGATTCCAAAGACCTGCCCTCAACTGCCGCCTTTGACACTGACTCAGAGGCAGTCTTTCACCTTGGGTAACTGGTTTCCCATTGAGCCTCGGTTTCCTCATCTGCAAAATGAGCATAAAAGTAGTCATGACCTCACAACCTTGCAGTGAGGAGGAATGTGGTGATGGTGCATGAATCATAGCCAGCATGAGGTCTGGCCTTGGAACTTGCCAACACCCTTCCCCCCGCCTGGGGGTTCTGAGCGCTCTCCTCCCCAAACCAGCTGGTCCCCAGGGAGAGAGCCCTGCCTCTGAGAAAGGCATAAGTTAGGCTAGAGGGGCCCTGGCCGGTGTGGCTCAGTTGGTTGAGTGGCGACCCATGCACCAAAATGTTGCCAGTTTGATTCCCCCAGGTTGGGGGTTCAATCCCCAGTTAGGGTTTATATAGGAGGCAGCTGATCAATGTTTCTCTCTCTCCTTCCCCATTCCTCTCTCTCTCTAAAAAATCAATAAAAACATATAAAAAAAAAAAAAAGTTAAGCTAGAGGAGGCACAGAGGATGCAGGGAACTGCTCCCCAGGGCCCTGTGGAGGAGGGGACCTATCCTCATTACTGCCCCCTTCCCTCGGCAGGGCCAGGGCTATGTAAGTCATAGTGTTCCAGCCCCAGAAGGGTGTGGAAGTGGAGGCCCCACCCAGGTGGGGAGGCACCTGTCTAACTACTCCAGCAGCTTGGCCTCCCTTACCTGGTGACAGGTCAGCCCCAGCCTTTTGCGGGGAGGTGGAGAGAAGAGAAGAAGGGCTAGAGCTTCCTCCCAACAGATCCCAGATCCTAAAATCCACACCCCTACTCAATTCCAAAGCCCCTTCCATAAGTGGGCTGGAGGATGGAGAGGGCCTGAGAAAGGCAGAAACAAGATAGGCAAAGGCCAGACCAGGCACAGGTTTGTTGGCCACAGAGGATGACGGGGGGTCATCTCCCAGCCATGTGGACCCACAGATCCATACACCTCCATGGAGATGACCAGAGCAGAGGGGGTTCAGACAGATTTGTCCCCTGACCTGCAGAGGCACAAAGATACACATGTACACAGAGATGGGCATGTGCGCACTCAGAATCCCACACTCAGCTGTGTGTTCAGGCACAGACGAGCACCGAGAAACTGGCAGGAAGACATTCACAGACATAGATGTGGGCAAGCTGGTGGGCACAAAGAAGCAAAAACAAAACATGAGCACTAAGAAGCAGACATCCACAGCACACACACACAGACACACACAGAGTTACCTGCCTCCCCCAAACCCTTATGCTCCCCAGAGAGGTAGAAACCATCTGGTACCTGGAGCAGAGGAGCCTACCCACACTCACCTCCCTTCCTCCTGCCTGAGGCAGCAGGCAGCTGGCTCCCCAAAGCCAGGAGGCCCACCAGGAGGAGGAGGCTCCAGGCATTCATGTTTCTGCTGTGGCACCTAATAAGGTCAGGGCCCAGGGGCCCCTAAATTAATACCTGCAGCCCCAGGGAGGCTACAGCAGCTGAGTAAGGGAAGGAAGGAGAGGAAGAAGATGGAGTGCAGGTGACTGCTCATCCTGGCCCCACCTCCTGCCCAAGAGCCTCAATGGAAGGGTGCTTGTGCAAGAATTGATGATGGGTGGGGGCAGGACCTGGGTGTTGGGGGCTAGGATCCAGTCCTGCCTGTATTGCTGACTTTGGCTGTGATCTTGGGCAAGCCTTGTCCCTCATTGGGCCTCTCTTTTTCTCATCTGTATAATGCGTGAAGGTTGTTGAGTCAGATACTCCCTTTCCTGGCTCTTGAAGCCCCATCAATGCTTCATGCATTCTGGATGCCCCTCCACCACCTCTGAAAGCAGGGCCAGGACAACACGGTGTTTTTCCTGTTCACTGAGGGCTCAATAAATGTTACCTAAAAAAAGAAGTAAATAAATTTTTTGCCAATGGAAAACAGTCTCATTTTAATTTGCCTTTCTCTGAATATTGGTGAGGGGGAGCATTTCTTCATATGCTTATACAGACCAATTGTATTTCTTCTTTCGTGAATTGCCTCGCTCTGTGCCCATTTTTATTGGAAATGCCTTTATTTTTATTATTGAATTTTAAGAGCTGTTTGTATATTAAGGATACTACTAACTTGTCATGCACAAGAAGGAGTATGGTAAAATGGTTAACAGATGTAAGCTGGAGTCAAGCTGACCTGGTTTTGAATACATGTGCCCCCAGGTTCAAGCTCTGTGGCTTTGAACAAGTTACTTAACTTTTATAAACCTGTTTGCTCTTCTATAAAATATAAATAATAAAAAATAAAATAGAGATAATATTTATTTTATAGGATGGTTTTGAGAATTGAATGAGATGAGCTTGATAAATGTTTAATTCTATCCTATTTTTTTCCTTGTTTTTACTTTGTACCAAAGTTTTCAATTTGGGGGTAGTTAGATCACTCTTTTGTATTTTCTCCCTTTGTTTTTATGCTGTAAAAAGTCTTTTTTGATTCTGATGTCAGATAATTATTTACTATATTTACTTATAATTCTCTTGTGGTTTTCTATTGATTTTTTTTCTTTTACAGAGAGAGGAAGGGAGAGGGAAAGAGAGAGAAACATTGATGGGAGAGTGAAACATCGATGGGCTGCCTTCTGCACTCCTCCTACCAGAGATGCAGTCAATAGCCCGGGCATGTGCTGGAATCGAACCGGCAACCTTTCCGTGCATGGGACAGTGCCCAGCCAACTGAGCCACACCGGCTGCGCTCTCTTGTGATTTTTGAAAAACATGTTAATTCTTTACTCCAGCTGAAATTTATTTGGGCATAGGGTGTGAGAGAGAGAAATGCCTTTTTTCCAAGTTATTAAGTGATTGTCTTAGTATCATTTAGCAGATAATTCAAACTTTTGCCATTGGTTGGGAATCAGAACTTCATCAAAAGCTAAAGTTTTCTGTGTGGCGGGCTGATCCTGAGTTTTCTGTTTTCTTCCTTGGCTGTTTATTTTCCCACTCATACTGCTGGTAATCGTTGCAGCATCACAGTACATTTTAGTGAATGGCGGTATCCTGTTACCCTTCATTAGTCTACATTTTCAATCATCCGTGCCACAGGTATTTCAGTCTTCCATGTTAACTTTATAATAATTTTTTAAGTTCCAAAAATAAATATTGTTTAAAAAAAATTATCTTAAAAGTTTGCAAAACACTCAAAAGAACAGTAAATACATCTAGGAAGCCCCATATCCCCCTCACCCAGATTCAACAATTAACATTTCCCCAGCTTAACTGAGATACACCTGACATGTAACACTGGGTAAGCCTGAGGCGTGCAGCGTGCTGACTTGACAGGCGCACGCGTCATGAAACGCTCACCGCAGTGAGTCAGGTAACACTTGCTTCCCTCGCGCGGTTACCATTGCGGCGGTGGTGTCACGGTGAGAGCAGGAAAGATGTACTCTGAGCAGCTTCCAAGGAGGCAGTGGTTATAGTCGCCATGCTGGACATTAGATCCTGGACCTTATTCATCTTATAACTGAGAGTCTCAACAGCTAACGTTTTACAACACTTCCTTCATGTATATTCCCACCCCTTTTTGGCTAAAGTACATTGAAATAAATCCAGTGCGTCTTATATTTTACCCTTAATGCCTCAATATGCACCTCAAAGAAATAAGGATATTTTCTCACATAATCAGCAGGTTGTCGTCATATCTAACAAAACTAGCAGTGGTGCCTTCAACATTATCTAATATTCTCCTCATATTCTATTTTTCTTATTGTCTTGAAAATGACGTTGTTCAGTTGGCGTGCCCGGGTCAGAGTCTAAACAAGGTGCACACATTGCATTGGTTGTAATGTCTCGCATATTTCTTTTCATCTAAAACATTCCCTCCAGCTCCGACTTCTCTTCTTTCCCTTCCTCCCCCTCCTCCTTCATGCTATTTACTTGTTGAAGAAAAAGATGAATTGCTTTCTACAATGTTCCACATCACTTCCCTGTGATGTCTTTCAACTTCCTTCTCCATTAGCTCTAGAGGCTCGGTGAGGTTCAAGTTCAACTGTCTTGGCACAAACACTTTACCGGTGTGCCTTCTTCTTGCATCACCTCAGTAGGAACATGGGTTTCGCCCACCCACTTTCAGTGTGGTGAAGATGAATGTGTTTTAGGTGGTGCCCCCTGGTGCCCCCATTGTGAAGTTGTGCTTTCCTACTTATAAACAGCAACTAAACTGTGGGGTGATGAGCTGGCACCCTATAAATAGCTGGTCCCAAACTTCCACCTAATGATTTATTTTGTTTTTTTAAATAAAATGTCTCCCATTTTCTCCCTTTTTGCCCCACTCCACCCAACCTCTGCCCCAGCCCAGGCCTTCCCTGGACTATTGTCTGTGTCCATGGGTTATGCATATATGCACATATGTTCTTTGGTTAATCTCTTCCTGCCCCCTCCCACCCGCCTGATGATTTTTGAAGCCATGGATGATCATTGCCTGAAACAGTGATTTCATGGGGGCACACAAAACCCACCAGGTGTTGATTTTTATTATATTTAGGTGCAAATTATGTTGGCCAAGAGGGACACTTTTACCTTGTGGAAGTTTCCTGTTTTGGGAATCTTTAAAAAGTTATTTTTTATTATGGAAAATAAAACTTGAGGCTATTACATATAAAACAGTCAGGGAGCTGACTCTCTTATCCACCTTCTCTCCCCCTTGTCCGATTTGATCACAGTTTTGCTGTTTCTACATTTTCACAGCAGATCATATTTACATGCTATTTGTTCCACTTTTGCTTTGGAGGTAGTTCTACGATCAGAATGTTCAGTGCTCAACAGAAGTCATTTTGCTAATTTCCAAAAATGTTTCTTTCTTTCTTTCTGGGTTTNCAACAGAAGTCATTTTGCTAATTTCCAAAAATGTTTCTTTCTTTCTTTCTTGGTTTTTGTTGTTGTTGTTTTTGCATGACAAGGAGTCTTTACTTTAAGATGATTATGAATCAGTACACAAAGTAATAACATGTAACAAGTTCTTGAATTCTATCACCTAGTAATTTTGATTAAGAGATCCTACAAGCAGCCCAAGCAATTATATTCATTGTCCTAACCCTTAGCCAGAAAGGACTGTTGTAAGCTGGCTGCTGCTTTACACAGGTTACAAATAACTATTTACTACTTTTTCTAGATAAAGCCCCTGACCTTCAAGATAGCTTTAGGGGGGAATTTTTTTCTAATCTCTTTCTTTAAAAATTGTTTTTTTACTGTATCTGAGAAAGAAAGTCCGTACTGGGATACGTGTGTGTGTGTGTGTTGCTTAAGCTAAAAGGCATAGAAAAACAGTGTATACTCATTAAATTTCTAAGAAATATGACATAAAAGGATGAAATCTTTGGATAAGCTCTAAGTTTGTGCAGAGAAACTAGATTTGCTATTCTCTGAAAGTAAAAGGACCTACTATGTAATAGAAATAACATAGTACCTTCCAGAAGAATATAACACTAGCTTTGCAAAAGCTCCCTATTTGGTGGAAGCATCTGAAAAGCGAATCCATGAACCAGGCACTTATTCCTTCTTCCCCTCTCCATTTATTCAGTAGTTTACATGGACTTCTGGCTGGATGTCACAGACAAAGGCCAAGAGGTTAGCCAGGACGTCATCCCTGTTCTTCGGGAAGTAGGTCTGGAGGATGGTCACCTTCTCCTGGGTGTCCTTCACTTCAGTGCTGCAGTTGCCTGGGGATCCCAGAGCCTCAGCTTCCTTGGCCTTGAAATCTTCTCCCTCTGCAGGCGGTGCTGTGCAATTTCAGCCTGAGCCTCTTTGGCCTGCTTTAGCCTTAGGTTATTTTGCTTGCAGACCTCCGACACCTTTTCCGCAAACGTTTCTTGGTTGGATCAATCCTGTCTGTTAATAGTATAGTGTGTATTCCTTCATACCTTTCCTCTTTTTCATCCATAAATGTAGGGATAGATGGGAGTTTTATATGTTTCTACTGAAATATTATCAAAACACAGATACCACTCTCCAAGGACATTGTTTTTTTCTGCTATTTCATGGACATTTCCAGAAGTCAGCAAACAGAGATCCAGTGATAGTTGTTCTTTTTCTAAGATATTTATAAATATAATAGGATCACGTCAGACATGATGAGTTTTTTGGTGAAGCAATATTTCTTTACTTCTTTTTCTTTGCCTTCTCCATCCTATCCTACCTCTTTATCTTTCCCTCCATCAACCACTCAGGAACCTACATTGCTATTCTGATGTGAACCTTTCTTAATATAACCATAGCTATGTCTATGTAATACAACCATATTAAAAACATACTCTTACTATGTGCAAGCATCTGGTTTTGGACCCTCTATCCTGTTTCATTTGCATACTTACCTATCATTGTTCTAATACCACTTTATTGTAATTACTACAGCTTTAAAATAAACCTTAAGATCTGCTATATTAAAGTCCTATTAAATTGTTCTTATAATCCATGGACATGGTATACCTTTCTAATCGGGAGTGTTAAAAAAATGTCTCTTACTAAAGTTTTATAATTTTCCCTGTAGTGTTCCTGTACAGAATTTATTAAATTTATTTATAATCTCCTCATGTTTTTATGTGATTATTAAAATTTCATTTACTGATGTGTGTTTTTGCTGTATTTGTATATATTCTCTTTGTATGCACCTGTCATGATAAATGAGTTTCCTCATTTTTATTTACCACTTTTTGGCTTTTAATACATATATAAGTATGCCTAGACAAACTATTACTTAGTTTTCCTTAGTTTTGAGCCTTATAACAAGCATATAATTCTAAATATTTTGGGGGGGGATTTGCATTTTTTATTCAACATTGCTTTCATTGAAATCACATTGTAACTATATTTATATTTAAAAAATATATTTATAAATATAGTTATATATAAATATTAAATGGCCATTCTTTTTATATTTATGTAATATTTCATTGTATTAATATGCCATAACATGTATAGCCATTAATTTTTTTGTTGGTCACATGGGCTGTTTCCAGTATTTTGTTATTAGAAACAACACTTGTGTGGACATTCTTGTGCATGTTTCCTGGTGAACATGTGAAAATATTTATCTTAGGTGTATACTTAGGTGTGTAATTGCTGGATCATACATTTTGCATATGTTCAATTTTAATAGCCGATGCCAACCCGACTTTCAAATAGGTTGCACCTGTTTGACTCTCATTAGTAATGCATGAGAATTTCTTTTCTCCAAAAATCAATAAGAAAAAAAGATGGACAACCCATTAAAAATGGGCAAGAGCCCGGCTGGGCGTGGCTCAGCAGTTGAGCATCGACCTAGGATCCAGGAGATCGGGATTCAATTCCCGGTCAGGGCACATACCCGGGTTGCAGACTGCAGCCAATCAATGACTCTCTCCATCATTGATGTTTCTATCTCTCTCTTTCTCTTCCTCTCCCTTCCTCTCTCTGAAATCAATAAAGATATTTTTTTTTTGAAAATGTGCAAGATACTTGAATAAGCTAATTAACAGGAAATTCAGGAAAGTGGTTACCTCTGGGAAGGAGAAGGAGGGAAGCAATTAGGGAGGAAGGACAATTGGGTAGGATAATATACAGGAAACATTCTCCTCCAGTACCTGGCAGTAGGTATAGACTGCCCATTTTAATGCTATTCTTTAAAGAATATAGTTTGTCCTACACATTTTTGTTTGTATGATTTATTTTGCAGTGACTTTTTTTTTTTTTTAAGTAGCCAGCAGACTCCAACATTCTGACCTCTGTTTATATCTCCTTAATGTGTTGGCATTGGTGGTCTGAGTCCAAAAAGACAAAGAATGGGGAGTTAGTCAGCTGGTTTACTATCCAGTAATTAGTCTTCTTTCTTCTCTGCCTCAAGCTGAACTCAGTCACTTCCACACTTCAGGTTGTCCCCGGTAACACCCAGCTTCTGGGTATTCATTTCTATTACTCTCAACTTTGGTAGCTATGACAAAATACCAACTCAGACTATTTTAGGCAGAATGCTAGTTTACTGGGTCATAACCCAACTATGGGAAGAGTATGGCATGAGCTGCTCTTAAGGGAAAGGGGGGTGAAGTTGGGCTGTGCTTCCCGAATCTTCTCTCGCCACTTTTTCTCTGCTTCTATCAGTGATTAATTAGGTTCATTTTTCTCACAAAGTTGAACTTCTCCCAGGCTGGATCCAGAGTTTCTGGAGTTCCCAGGCTCATATCTAGAATCTCACCCAAAGGAGGGCCTTCCCTCTTCCCCTTTGTGTCCATTCAGATAAAGAACTTCAATAGATCTGAACTTCAGTCGAGCCACACAAACACATACCCTTCCTTTCACGATTAGCAGTCCCCATTAGACTCTTAAGTTGCTGATACAAAGACACAAGAGTTCTTCAGAAGAAACAGGGTGTTTTCTAAGAAGGAGGAAAGCACTATCGACCCCCACCTTATAGATGATTCCTGTTTTCTTCCTGTTGCTTTTCTGGGTGTTTTCTTCTTCTTGTGATTTCCAGGGCATCATCCCCCTCCAGATCTAGACTTTCACCTTCCCTATTGCTTTTTTGGTGCATCTCAGAGACTACCTGTGAAATGGCAAAGTGCAGTGATTAGCCATTAGACTTTTAAGGCAAATTTGCCTTTGGGAGGGGCTAGGGAGAATGAAAGAGAAGCCCAGCTTGTTGCTGGGAGAAGTAAACTCTTAGGGTAGGTCGAGGTGGGGCTCACAGGATCAGGGAACACCCTGGTTCTGAAATCAGAACACAGGACCACTGACTTGCTGAGTGACCTTGGGTGATTTCTGTCTTTTCTCTGGGCCTCGTATCCTTTCTAAATGTAAAGAATTTGGTCGTGATAGTGTCTCAGGGCCAGCAGCCTTGCCTCTCCGTGAGAAAGTAGGACAGCTCTTGGCACTATCATAGGTGATGTAACACAGTGTCTGCCATTTCCCTCTGTGAATAGTCTTTGGGGAAAGCCCCAAGGTACCTCCCAGGCTGGGGGTGGTTAGTTCCTGGTAGAAACAAAAATGTAGGTCTTGTCTTTTGTAAAACCACAGACCCACCCTTGGCGCCAGGCCAAGCTGCAGCTACATAAATTAGGTTTGGCCTCAGCCCTTAGCCACACACCCTTCTGACAACATGAGGACCAGCAGCTTCTTGGTTCTGGCAGTTTTGCTTGTCCTGGGGACCCTGGCAGTGCAGGCAGCTGTCAGTGGAGGTGAGTGGACGAGTGGCCCAGCTGGGGCTGGATTGGGTTGAGGAGAGGCTGTCAGGGGCAACCTAGGTGCTAACAGGGAGCATTTCTGGAGCAATAGGCAGAGCTCGAGCCCATATTCTTGCCTGTGGTCACTTCCATTGAATCCAGAAAGAGTAGGAGGTTGCCCAGCAGACCCCACTTGCTTTTCACCCCAGGACTGAGAGAAGAGGACTGTTTGTGGAAGAAGTGTTGTCATGTTGCCTTGGCCTCAGACACTGAGACTTCTGCAGAATGGAATGAGGAGTCCCAGGAATCTGGGCCCTGGGTGTGGGGTCTGTCCCCTGGCTGTCTACCCCGTAAGAGCACCTGAGACTAATCAGTCCTCTAAGAGGAGGTTAAAAACCAACAGGGCCTCAGAAAGCCTGTAATTTGAGGAGCACCATTTTACTAGGGACATGGAGACCTAGAGAGGAGGGAGGAACTGTCGAGGCAATCTCCCGAGCCAAGAGGATCTCAGGTCTCCTGGCATGTGTCTTAGGGCTCTTCTTCCCTCCCCTAAGCTTCCTCAGAAGTGACTATGTGTCCTTCTCACTTCTGGGAGTCACTCAGATCTGGCATCTCCTCCTGAGCACCAGGACTTGGAATGGATGGATGGCGAATGAAAGGACACCTGAGGCAACCGTGGTCCTGTAGACCCTCCCCCCAAAACTCAGGGGATAGCCTTCCAAGAGCACAGACCCGAGTTAGCCTTGGTGAGCCTCTCCCATCTCAGGTCATAATTTGGGGGACACGAGTGAGCAGTGACAGGACAGAGAAGGAAGACAAGATAGCTGAAACAGGGACACGGGGTCTAACTGTGGGTACATTTCTTCTTTCAACAGTTCCTTATACAGGTCAAGGAGTTGGCAAAGGTCATGTTCCGGACAAAGAGGTAGTTAAAGGTCAACATCCAGTCAAAAGGCCTGGTCAAGTCCAAACTCCACAGAGAGGTCACACTAAGCCTGGAGTCTGCCCCAGGGTTCTCATGAGATGCGCCATGCTGAACCCCCCTAATGCCTGTCTGAGGGACTCTGAGTGCCACGGGGCTAAGAAGTGCTGTATGGGCTCTTGCGGACGGGCCTGTCTGAATCCGCAGTGAGGTAAGGACTGAACGGAGGAAGGGGCAACGCCTGAGGGCACAGAGAAACTGAGCGGTGGGGAATGATCCTCAGTTGGTGAGAGGGATGATATTGGGAGGGGACGGGGAGACTGGGGTCTCAGAGGCTGTAACTGGGGTCCTGAGAGGGGTGACCTGTGGACTTGATGCTCTCTCTCACTGCCTCTGAGAGCTCTGACCTGCTAAGTCACATCTCTGGTTCTCCTCTCTCCTGCCAGGTGGAGCCTGTCCTTGCCGCACCTGTGAAGGCCCCGGGGCTGCAGTCCCAGGTCTCTTGGCATTTGAACCCCTTTCCCACATGCTTCATTCTTCCCCTCTTCAAAGATGCCCAGGCCCGGGCTGCTTCTCTCACTGACTCTAATAAAGCCTGCTTTCTGCTCCATGTGTTTGGCTCCTGTGTCTTCTGTGCTCCTGGAAGCTCCTGGAGGTGGCTGTGGAGTTGGGACTCCTTCTCCCCCGTGAGGGTGGGAGTGAGAGGGCTCCATGGGAGCTGTTCCTGGTGTGAAGGAGAGCAGGGGGCAGGAGCAAGGGGCCCATTTCCAGGGCTTAACATTAGAAATCCAGTGAACAACCCAAGAACTGCAGGCTCCCGAGCACCAGGAAATGGAAATCTGGAAATTTCACTTGTTGGTGCCTGAGATGCCTCCATTAACACATAATTCCTTTGGGTTAAGCAATATCCTGTCTATTTTAAGATGTGAATGAGGAGACAAGACACACCAAGTCCTTGTCCCTTTAGTAGGAAAGTTGAATAGTGGTCTCTGGAGACATAAAGTGGGGGCAGGGCAGGCTGGAGTAGTGACGAGAGTGGAGGCTATATGTTGGGCAAACTTGAATGACCTCATGGCTCTGCTGTTGGCCCCACTGCCCCCACTGCCCTGGGTGCTTTGAACCACTCAGTGGAGATCTAAAGTGCCAGGCGGGAATATTGGATTTGCTGAGCATCTTAGTGCAGCCCTGGGTATCGGGTGAAGGAAGACCCTCTGATCTGTCCAGTTTCTGCAGTGGGAGGCCAGCTCTCATATATCAACTCAAATAGGAAAGTGTCAAAACATAAGAAGGAAATCCCACAATAAACATACCAATATCCCCTACATTGTGGATTTTCATAGAATTCCAAACTCCAGTTGGAAATGGAATGGCACGAATGTTGCCACCTCCGAAAGAGAAGGCCACACTCCCCAGTCACCATGGAAACGTCCTTAGGAAAGTGCCTTCTCATACCAAGCTAGACAAGACACCTCTTCTGCCTTCTCCATCAGCAGTAATTTATTTCACAAGGTCACTTTTGATGAACTTGAGTTACTTTTCTGCCCCTATTTTAATCACAGGTTACATTGCCAGCTTTTTCACACTAGACAGTACTATGTCTTCCCTTTCTGCAGCTTGATGTTTTCATGGAGACACTAATTCATCCGTAATACCTGTCCCATAATCTTTCACTCCTAAATCACAATAGAGCACACCACTACTGCCTCTGGGCAAATTGATGTCCCGTCCTGTCCACCCGGCATTGCCATAGCCTTGGACATCACTTCCACGCCTCTTCCTGGAAGTGAGATGCTGTAGCCATTGGCTGCTGGAACAAATTCTAACTCAACCCCTCCTCTGCGTCTGCTTCTTACCATCACTAGTCCTCATGTCCCTGACAGAGCCTTGCATGTGTCGTCTGAACCAGTACACATGCGCATGGGGTGGCTGCAGAGAAGGCAGGGAGAGCAGACTTCTGGACCTTCCAGCTTCTGTGGGGGACATGGGCTCAGCCTACCACCCCGGAGACTGACATGGTGGGTATGCTCTAATAATAGGATGGCGTTTGTATGCATAGAAGTCAAGAAATGAACGTTGGCCGTGGCGAGTGTGGCTCAATTGGCTCAGCATCATCCCATGCACCGAAAGGTCTCTGGTTCAATTCCCGGTCAGGCCACATACCCAGACTGTGGTTCAACCCCTGGCCAGGGTGTACACGAGAGGCAACCGATCAATGTTTCTCTCTCTCTCTCTCTCTCTCCCCCCCCTCCTCTCTCTCTCAAAATCAATTTAAAAAACATTTTTTAAAAAGTTGTCAAAACCAGTCTCATGCCCACTGTGAGCACAGGACAGCTGCTTGCACGCTCCCTCCATTTTGTGCTCTATCTCCAGCTTCTGGCCTCTAGTTTAACCAACAATAAAAAGGAAGGAGATTGGAGCCGGTGAGGCTTCCAAGGCCTCGTGGCTGATATTCACTAAAACACCTACTGCTTCATAAAAGGTGTTTTCAACTCTGCATGAAGTGGAGGGGAGAGAGCAAGAATGATGGGGAAGATGAGAAGCTCTGGGGCTGCACAATATTAGGGAAATGGCCCCGAGCTGCTGGCTGTAGCGCCCAGGTGGCACCACAGTCTCAGGGTCTAGGGCTAACTGGGAACAGCTCGCTATCCGGCTCCTCCCAGAGACGCAGCGCCCCCCGCAGAGGGGGCTTTGCTGAGCTGTAACCCTGATGTTCATCTGCAGGCTCTGCTCTGTGTGCCCCTAGAGGGTTGAGGAGCCAAGGTCACTGATAATTTTTGGATATTCTTTGGCCACTTCTGAGGCTCTTCTTAACCAGAACCTCCTCAGATAAGGAGGCTCTGTTCTAGCCAGCCATGTGTGTCTGCCCCCAGGAGTCCAGCTTGACATGGGTCAGGCTGACACCACGTGCTTCTCAGCTTGTCCCAGGTGCTTGAGCCACAACCTTCCACAGAATTTGGAATTGCAAGTCCCCTTTGACACAATCCAGACAAACACCTTCATCTTGCAGATGGGGAAACTGAAGCCTAGAGGCGCCATCAAAGTTCACACTAGGCGTCAAGGGCAGAGCTGAGGCCAGGGAATGCCTGTCCCCATGTGCCTGCTCTCTTTCTGCAGGATGTTGACTAGGAGCCTTGAAAAAAAGACTTGTTGATCCAGTTGCTTTACCTGAACCAGAAATCAAGTTCACAGCAGGAATTCCAGGAAAACAGAAGGGACTCAAGCCAAAGTGGAGAATGAAAGATAATGTAATTCAGGGAGAAGATAAGATCAGCTATCAACGGATGCGCCCCAAAAGGTCAAGTGTTCTGCATCATTTTGGTCTCATGTCAATGACCCTCTGCTCTTCTCTTGCCGATTTACTCACCAGGCAGAGACCTTTGCTTAGACTCTTGGAGTCTTTCTCAAACTAGCTCTCATATGCACCCCAATTAAGAGACCAGGCCACTCATTTTATAGTAAGAGGCACGTACATAGCACTGGGCACACATGCGTGTGGCCTTCTGGATTCCCACTAATAAGAAAGAGATCTTCAAAACCTCCTAGACATCCCATTCCCTCCTCCTTTTTTGATGTTTTTTTTAAATGTAATGTGCCAAACTTTTTAATTGAAGTTTTAGAGATAGAGGAAGAGAGAGGGAGAGCGAGAGAGAGAAACATTGATTGGTTGCCTCTCATATGCACCCCAATTGGGGATCAAACCTGCAACCTGGGTATGTGCCCTGACTGGGAATCAGACCCATGAGCTTTTGGTGTATAGGATGAAGCTCCAACCAACTGAGCCACACCGCCCAGGGTTCCTTTCATGTTTTTTGGGTCAGCTTTGTATTAGCTCCAATTGGTCTCACTGTCTGAAGTCACTGCGATGTCAAAAAATTGACCTAAGGATAGAATGGACCACAGAGAGCAAGCTCTGAGTTGGGTGAGATAAATATATGCCCTGAGAATGGAGCTTTTTATGAAGCTATCAGACAGGTCAAATAGTGACAGTTTTCTGGAGATGGAGCTTTGGAGTAGCATCAAATCCATTCTCCCCTTCAGTGGTGGCTGGGCTGCCGGTTTTCAGAGCTGGTTGTCATGGGCTGTAGGACAAGCCTGCTGGCTTCAAGGCCACCACACAGCTAGGAAGAATGGGATGGGAGCAGAGCAAGCCAAGCTTTCTCTTCTCCCGAGATTCACCTGTTTTTCTTGAATAAACACTCCATGGATTGCTGCAAGCCTTTAGTAAAGTTCTCGGCTTCTGAAAAGGTTGATTTTGACAATATTTGTTAGTGTTCTAATGGCTTTCTGAAAGTGCTTACCTCTGTAGTAGGGTTTTTGTAGGGGCTTGCTATCAAATTAAAGTGAACTTCTAATCCTGTACCATCCTATTCTTCTATCATTAATAGATTAATAGATTAATTGGTTAATCTGTTAGTTGATTAATTGGTTAATCTATTAGTTGATTTTTCACATATTTAATACTGATATGGAAATGATCATATGATTTTTCCCTTTATCTATTAATGGGGACTAGCCCATTGACTTACTTTTGAATGTTAAACCAACTATCCATTGTTGAAATAATGCCCCCCTTGTTTATGATGTATCATCACTCTCATATTGACAATATTCATTGGCTAATTTTTGTTTAGGATTTTTGCCTCATTTTTCTAGCAAAATTGGCATATAGTTTTCTTTGCATGCAATATCCTTGTCATGTTTTGGTATCAAAGTTGCAATATCAAAGTTCTTTGAAAACAGAATGGTCACAAGTGGGTTGTGGGACTGCAAACAAACATCTTGTGAATAGAAGTGCAGGCACAGTAAGTAATTAGCTTGTTAAAAAAATTGGAAAGGATTTTTTTCTAAATATGAACTGAAATGCACAGAGAACAGGCCAAACTAGAGCTAGAAGGGAGCAATGTAGATTCACAGTGGAAAAACACCAGGAGGCAGCTACGGTTGCACTAGAAAGAAACAAGAGGAACCTCACACCTGTCAGAATGGCTATTATGAAAAAAATGAACACACAACAAGTATTGGTGAAGATGTGACAAAAAGGGAGCCCTTGTGTGCTGCTGGCGGGATTGTAAATTGGTGCAGCCACCACAGAAAACAGTATGGAGGTTCTTCAAAACAATGAAAATAGAACCACCAAATGATCCAGCAATTCTACTTCTGGGTATTTATCCAAAGAAAATAAAGACATTAATTCAAAAAGATATATGTACTCCTAGGTTCACTGAAGCATTATTTATAATAGCCAAGATATGGAAGCAGCCTAGGGGTCCATCGACAGATGAATGGATAAAGAAGATGTGATACACATATATATGAATATTACTCAGCCATGAAAAAGTGAAATTTAAACAAACAAAACAGAACCAGGTGCATAGAGACAGAGAACAAATTAATGGTCACGGGGTGGGGGTGGGGTGGAAAGATGAAAAGGAGTAAGAGGTACAAAGTTCCAGTCATAAATAAATAATTCTCAGCATAGGAAATATAGTCAATAACATTGTAATAATATGCACGGTGACAGGTGCACTCCAGACCTGTCACGGTGATCCCTTCATAAGGCGTACCAATGTCTAATCACTTTGTTGTACACCTGACAATAATATAATATTG